TTTATATAGATTTTTTTTTTGTTAGAATATGGTATAACTGATGTTGACAATTATATTATACGGTCCAATCATATTCAACCATTTCTGGTATACAAAATGCTTATACATATTCAAGTTTACATTCTATACTTATCTATAGTATTATTTTTTTAGTTAAGTTTGTCACAATTTACCTCATACATGATAAATAATATATCCATACAATGTCCTTTTTATAACTTACGTCTTGAGAAACTATGTCAAAATTCAATTATTTGTGGGTCAAGTTACATAAAATTAGACACAATCAGATAAAATTTGTTATTGTTTGGAACTGTATTCTAAATATTCTTGGATTGAGTAAAAGCATGTGTTCTTTAGCCACTCATACAATCTGTTTTTAAAGACTGTAAACGGTAAGTTTATGATTTCCCTTGACAATTTAATGTACACTTTTATAGCCATCATATAGCAATTATTGGAAATGATTTTTTTCTTTGTTTTTGGAATTATCAGCCTTTCTCATAATCGGCTACCATACATTACAATTTCATTATGCTCAACAAAAAGGTAGCCGTTATGTTTTACAATAAAGCTTAATTCATATATATACATCCCAATTAGAGTCAATATACCTAGTTTAGGAAATAGCGTTCTACAGTTTTCTAATGGCCCAACATTACAAATTGCACGTATACACTTTTTCTACGCTAAAAATACTTTACTTATTTTTACAACATTTCCCCAAAATATCAGACCGTATCTATCCGTATAGAATTGATGATATGTATCCATGGTAAGCAGTTAAAGCGGCTTTTTGTGAAATACATTTTGACAGTTTTCGGAGCGGAAACATGAATTTATTTATCTTTTCGCAAACACATTCTATATGCTTCTGCCATGTATATTTGTGGTCCAAATTTAATCCAAGGAATGTAATTTCATTAACCTCATCTATATTTTGAGTATTGTAACTAATTTTTAGACCTAAATAAATAAATAAAAATTACTCTTTTCACTGTAACATTGCCAAACATAATGATATATTTCTGGTGTATGGTTAGCCACTTCGTTCAGCAGAGTCGTTCTATCAATGGGGTTAAAAGCATTCCTTAGGTCAACCTTCAGAATTACATCCAATCACTAGTATTTAAAGAAGTTCGAACGGAATGCACAGCTGCTTCACAGCCGCCTTTGCTTCCAAAGCCTAGTTGAACAGGCTGGAATTTTGTTTTAAGGCCGGAGATTATGTGCCTACATGCTAATTTTGAAGCTAAGCTTCGAAAGGTAGAACCAATAGTAATAGGACGGATACCATTATCTTTTCCGGAAAGCATTAAGTTGCATAATTTTGTAATATCATTAAGAAGTGCTCTGCCAGCATCACCGGCGGAAACTTATAAGATCTTTCAGATGTGGCGTTATCCCGTCAATGCCGCCAGCAGAGTCCCTTGAAAATGACATAATTGCCTCGAAAGTGTCTTTATTGGTAATTTGCAAAGCCTGATGTGAAGACTTAAAATGACTACTAAAAATTCAATCAAATTATTACGATAATTTAATATAGTTATATTTATTATGCGTTTGGTCCGGTGAATGAGATAACAGGAGCCCATTTTTAAAAGCTTGTCAACGCATATACAACCCTTCAAGCACTGCACATGCCAAGGGCGGTGGTAATCACTCAGATGAACCACTAACTCGCTTGTATTGGTTAGATGAAGTTAACTGTAAAGAAGATGAATCCCTTCTAGAAATTACTGTGTAATAAACTTTTTCGTCTCATACAGCAGACTCTCTACAATGTTATTCTGAACTACTGTCCCGCTACACTTGCCATCGTAGTTCTCTCTTAGTTTATATTTTTAATTTTATTTACTATTGAAAACACTTATTATTTTAAAGAAATAAAACATTATTTTTTTTATATATATAATGTGGTCTCTTTCATCTTTTCCGCATTCACATATTTAAGCATACGTGGGCGTTGGTAACGGTTCAATTTATTGACCGTTCCATTCAGTGTATTGCCTATTTGATTTGAGACGTTCGCCTCAGGCTTCCTCTGTCAAACTTTTGCACTTACTTTCGTAACATAAGTAACATAAGTTTTCTTCTGCAAAAAAACATAATATAAATAGATAACATAAATAAATAGTAACAACTCTGAAAAACTATGTCCGACTCCGATTTTGCACATTTGTTGCGCAAACAGTGATAAAAAGGTTGACATTTATCCTGACCTGTCCTAAAAACATAGGTACGGTGAAGTAAAAAAATGACGCCCATAACATTCCTTTAACATGGGTCATATAATACGAGGACTATACTTTTGGAAACAAACCGCAACACGCAATGTTTCATAATGAATGTTACAAATGGTACTGTCAGTATACTTATTGATCAAACTTTATTAAGTAGTTTTATAACTTTGAGTTGTAATCTGAATAATTGAACTTATATTGTTGAATAAGTCTGTCGTTGGGCCACACAACAGCTTCTGCTATGGCTCGAATGGGCAGGCTTGTCTGAGGAAGTGACACGGCCTCACAGAAGACTGACGTGAGGTGGAAGTATATTACTTTCGTGTTTGGTGAGGGAATAAAAAGGGGCCCATTTTTGTAAAGTACTGGCAACGCATCTACCACTTTGGAGTCGCAGATATGCATGGACGGCGGTAATTACTCAACATCAGGTGAACTGCCTGCTAACTTGCCAACTTTCTCCATAAAAAAAGGCAATTCAAACTCTAAACACATTTTGTTACACAGTGTAGAATACAGGTTACAGGTGTATTCGTGTACGTAGTTTCATCCGGTTTGCATTATGTGATAAGCCATAAAGATAATAAGTATGAAAAAAATAACTATAGGACAATCAAATAAATAATACCAATTGTCCATGGTTGTCAGCTCTGTCTCTGTCTTTTAGAGTAGTGCTAAGGAATCGCTTATCGATTAAAGCATAGGAAAAGTGAACCAAACCCGTGGGTTCTGGCTAGCCCACCGGTTCTGCATCAGATGAAGCTTTAATAGTATCGGGACTGAAAGCAAAAACATCAGTTAATACAAGATACAAGGAAAAGTGGAATTTTGGTGGACTATCAATCGGTTCATTAAAATTAGAATTTTTCAATCAATTGATAATAATTCAAACAGCAGAAAGAGATGATGAGAGAGACGTCAGCTCTACCTCCCTGGATGATCAGAGAGTTGCGCAGAGACTCAAACTTGATTAAGAAAGGCATTATGCTTATTATATTAGGATCGTCTAGAGGGCTCTAAGGGACCAAAAATATTTTATCACCATCGAAACGGTTCTTTTTGGGGAAGACAGGATAATGTGAGAATATATCACATGATATTTTCTCAGAAGTCAGATTATCTAAAAAAGTATGATGTATTTTTGTTAGTAATGAATTCTCCAAGTAAAATTACTATTTATATGATTGTAAGTATAAGGGTAAGTGAAAAAATTTTACATTTGAAAACAAAAAACAGCAGTTTAGACGTTACATGCTGTCAACAGCATTTACTTAACATTTAAATATGTTTATATTTAAATGTTAAATAGATGTAAGAGTATTATTAACCTAAAAAAGTATGATAATTTTTGTTAGTAATGAATTCTTCAAGTAAACGTACTATTGCTACGGTTGTAAGTATAAGGATAAGCGAAAACATTTTACATTTGAAAACAAAAAATTCAAGCAGCTACGGTTGTAAGTATAAGGATAAGCGAAAACATTTTACATTTGAAAACAAAAAACAGCAGGTTAGACGTTACATGCCGTCAACAACATTTACTTAACATTTAAATATGTTTATATTTAAATGTTAAATAAATGTTGTTGACAATAAACAGGTTACTTACCTCCATTTCAGTTATAATTTGTACAGTTTGCTTCTAAAACGCCATACTCATGTATACGGATGCCAGCGAGTGTGAAAGTATATAAATAAATTTCATGGTAACAAATGCATCGTTGTAACTAAGGTACGTAATATAATTGTTAAAAATTATCATACACACACGAAATACTATATTAAATTAGCACTCACTGATTATATTAACATGTTTGCCCGAGCACATTGCGTGTGTGCGTAAGGCTGATTGTGTGCCGTGTAGAACTCATCTTATTACAGAACATAAAGCAAGACTATGGGTCCCTGACGAGTCATTCGCACACATGGACATCCCTGTACATTCTGAGCCTTTACCATTGACACGTTATTGGATATCGAAAAGACCTATCAATTTCCTCGTTCTATTTTTGTCGTCATTTGGTGATACACGCGTAAATAATAAAAGTAAACAGATTTGTCTTCTTTCGGTAATTGTATAGCTAAGTTGTTTCATTAATAATGTCAATTACTCTTAAATTATATAAATATGTTTTTTTTTCTACTCACTTAGTATGATGGAGATTTAATACAAGAAGTTTAAGAGTCCGTAGCATTAGAAAATTAGCTCAATCGTTACATTACATTGGTTTAGCTCAAACTTTACATAGGTTTTATGAAAATAGTTACACGCAGATCTGAGAAATCTTTATATTAAGGAGCAAACATAATACAAAAAAATACATAAATGGGATTGGAAAATTCTTGGTATTAAAGGGCTCTTTAAAGTTAACATTTGCACATAGCTTCATTGAAAGTACACATTTTAGTACTATATTTGATGTTACGGGGCTAAGAATGTATATAAACTACTTCGTCTAGACCAGATATTGACAGTACAGTATTCTTTTCAAAAGTTTAGTTTCAATCCCACACAACGAAAACATAAGGTTGATTTTGCACGTAACAAATGTGTAAAACGAAAACATTTTTGTGATCTTCATTAGGATTCAAATTGTTACCAAGCACAGTTTTTCACAATGAATAGAAGGGTAATAGAAGGGTAGCCAGGTATGGTAACCAATCTTAACCAAGATCAGACAAAGGCGTCGGTAATTGTATTGGTTTCTACCAACACTATTCAAGCACTTTTCTTGAAAAAAGATTGGTTTAGCATTAGAGTAAATTGCCCCCCAAAACATAATCGTGCATTGGAGTTATTACAGCATCGCCGAAATAGTCGAGGACCAGACCCTCACGAATTAGAGATCTGTAAACAAAGACGTATTTTTCAATCTATGAAGTGTTTATTGCAGTGAAGTATTAATTAGTTTCTATACCTTTAAGTGTATGTGGATAGAGGATAGGTAATATAACTATGTAGAAGCCTGGCTTAAAAGTATTTTTAAGGTACCAGATTTCTAAAATCTGCGCAATTATTTTTTTATTTTCTATAATTTTTCCATGCAAACAATATAAAGTTAGGAAATGAAATTACAAATTTTCACTTCATATTTTATTAATAATATTGATATGATGAAAATTAGATATAAAACAGAATGAAACCTAGCAGTTTACTTATCGAGCATGAGTTAGAAAGAGAGGTAAAGTTGAACGAAGCGATTTCCCTCAACTCACATCTCCGCTATCTTTCACCGTCTACGTTAAGAATTCTTTTTCACGCGTGAGCAGTGACTTTATGCTTTCATGTTGCATTAACGAAGTAATTATATTTTAAAACTATTTATCCAATAAAAATGAAACCAAAATTGTTAGCGAAAGAGAATTAAAGCGTTTTATTTCTTAAAACAACGTTAAAGAAAAAAATATTCCTATCTGACGTTTTTAAGAGTAAAAGGGATAAAATAGTGAAAGCATGTCCAAGCAAAACTTATGCACCTGAAAGAAGTTAGTTCATCGAGTGGTGGGCATGTACCGTCGAGTACAAAAATCACGTGATATACTCATTGTTTAAAATAAAAAAAAAGCTTCACAAAAGTAAATCACTTCGTGACTGTACGCTAAATTTTATTCCAAGCGAGATAGATAGCGTTTGAGATAACGGTGCGAACGAGAGGGCGATGTTCTTCCCAGTTCGCTACGCACGATATCGATAAAGTTTGCTGCGCGGTGACTGGACGAACTTCGGAGCTCTCGTCGCTTCCGTGAGCCGCTTGTGACGGCCGTGGTTGTTGCAGGTGCGCTGGAGGGCGGCCCTCTGGGCGGCGGCGGTGGCGGCGGCGCGCTCGGCGCGCTGCGTGCGGCCGGCTCGCCGCCCGCGCCCAGCCTCGGCGCCAGCCGGCACAGTCTCATAGGTACACGTCCACCCCCTTCGGTGCACCCAACAAGTCGCCGTTCATGTTAAATGTCTGATAATTAAAACGTAGTACACTTACGAAAACAGTATTCTTTAGTACTAGCTGCTGCCCGCCAAAAACACAGATATACATAAAAATATATATATAAATTATAGCCTATATGTTTCATTAAAATCCATTCAGTAACAAACATTGAAAGAGTAACAAACATCCATCCAACAAACATGCATATTATAAACTTTCGCGTTTCTAATATTAGTAAGGATGTTTAGGCTCTTTTCTAACTAGATATTCATTTCCTGTTTCATGGATATTCGTTTCATTATTCTAAATGTAAACTATACAAGTTTATTTATTTTATTTACACTTTATATAAAAACTAGTACAAAGGCGGACTTAATGCTAAAGGCATTATCTACCAGTCAACCTTAGGGTGGTGTAGAGAATTCCATAAGTTCCATAGTAAATTTCATTTTACGTACGAATAACTTTTTTAACGACCTATGTTTTTATGGTGGGAATGAGAGAAAATTGCCTTATTGTTTTCGTTGTTAATGATCGCAAGTGCAAAAGTGATTTAATTTTTGTTGGGATCAGTCGTGCGCGCTATCCTTAATTGCGGGGGTTTAATTTGGCGGCATACTTTAATTAACAGGATTCCAGGTCGTGTGTCCTGAGGAAATTGATGAGTTGTGTTGTATAGGGGGCGTGGGGGAGGGGTGTAAGGGCGCGGGCGGCACGGGGTTACTCGTAAATCTACGCTACGTGGGTGCCTCTGCGTTTGATTAATTTATTTTCGGGGATTCCGCGTTGCTCATCTAAAAAGCGTTATTCAGCTAGGATTTCATTTCGCCACCGTCTCATGGCAAATCATTGGAATAATAAAAACGTTTCTTTCAATTTCAACGCGGGGGAATCGGTATAAGAATACAAAATGAATTTGAAATTAATGCAGGAGACAGTTGTCATTTATAGCTAAAGTGGCACAAAAATGTGTTCGTGTTGTTTTTATAACACTGTCGTGTTCATACGCGCGGAATTATTCAAAAAATGGTATCGCTCGTTTAAGATTATAGCAAATCTCAAGCTTTCTTACAAGCCCATAATATAAATTGTAAAGTTTGGTAAAGTTTTAAATGTCAAAAATTGTTTTCCTTGTTAAGTAAATACTTCATAAAGGTCTTAAGTGTAATTGTACATAATTGACAATAAGGACTGTAACAAACGGAACTGAACCAACTCACTTCTCAAAATTTTTCTTAGCTTTCTTCTGTTTGTGTGTATGTGACTAATTAAACTGCTGGAGCAATTTTTATGAAATATTTTGTGTGTGTTAAGTGGATTCGAGAATGATTCAAATTCAAAATATAGTAAAACACTTCATTAGTTATAACAATTTTTACTTTAGCACCCTAATGAAATCTAAAAGTAAATTGAGAAAAATCTCAAATTAACCTTCTCGATGGCTAATTCTTCAATAGTAAGACCGCTGGAAGTCCGGCAAGGTGTTGTCGCAATACGTTACCGTCCGACGATAAGTTCTAACGGTGGTAGGGCCACGCAGCAGCCTCGGCTGTTGCACGAATGGGCAGGCTCGTCCGGGTAAGTACCACGACCTCATAGAAGACCGGCGTAAAGTGGAAGTATAATACTTTCGCGTTTCGTCGGGAGAGTGAGGTGGCCGGAGCCCTATTTCCAAAAGGTTGTCAACACATCTGGAACCCTCGAGTGTAGCATATGTCCATGGGCGGCGGTATTCACTTAACATCAGGTGAACCGTCTGCTCGTTTGGCAACTTTTCACATAAAAAAAAAGTATTGAATTGAAAAATTCCTTATTGTACCAAAGGTTTGTACAAAGGCGAACTTAACGCTAATAACTTACCATAAGGTGAGCCTCCTGCTCGTTTGCCCCTTTTCTCCATAAAAAAATAGCATTTTCTTCCACTTAACCTTTGGTGGTTGAGAGCAAGTTACGGGTAGTAACGCTAAGTGTCAGAAAGATTTTAAATGTCAATTAAATGTACGCATTTACCTACTCCTAGACGTTGAAGCACACATCGATTTATTTGTCTTCGCCCGCGATAAAGACGCGGGCCTGTTGAATAAGAACGTGAGCCCGCCGGGAGGATCACGGCGGGACGTGTCCCTCATATCGCCGTCAGCGTAATGGCGCCGCGGATAGCCGACGCTCCGTTACGTGACGAAACGTACAATGTCTCAACGCCCGCCCGTTATTTGAGCATGCTTCGTCGGCCGAGACTCACATACAAATCTCCGCTTGGGGCACTGATTGAATCCCCCGTGTGTTCCGACTGTCTTCGTATTGGCACGACAATCGTCGCATTTATCGCCGGCTCTCATATTTTTATGTACTATTGTTTTACACTGGGGATTCGATTGGGTTTGATTTTCAACGTAGATGTATTTACGATTGATTTTAGACCAGGTCAGGGTTGAATTTCGCAGCGCCTAAAGTTTTTGTCCATTTATCTACAACAATTCAAATTTCAAGTTCAATTTAAATATCTTTGTTGAGTTATATATATGATTTATTCATGTTATGCGTTTAAATATATAACTAAACGTTATAAACAATTATATATTTTTATACAGCGTGTCGTTACAACCGCGACAATAAATGAACACACGTCTAACGCTACTTGCCAATAATCATAAAAAAATATAAACGTTAAAAAAATCCATAATTAAAAAAATATTTTTCAAACAAACTAATTAAATAAAAATTAAACAAAATTTGTAACACCCTATACAACTAAAACTAACTGACTTTTTCATTCGTTGCCACAGTGTCGTATTACAAAACTCTCCTTCTAACCGTATGTTTTATCTCTTTTAAATTCATTCAACCCATTCATAGGCTTTGTGACCTTTACAAATGAACTTTACGTTACAGTTTTAGACGTTAGGGTGTTCTAAAATTGTTTGTTTTAGAAAATTTAATAACTCGCTAAATATTGATTTTTAAAGAAGGTGAATGTTTAATACAATTTTAAAAAGTTATCCTTTATATGTGTGTTCATTAATTGTCGCCGTTGTAAAGACACGCTGTATAATCACTATAATAAATAATGACCTCTGCTGGTTGATAGTTCAATCAATATGCTATGACGTTCATTTTCCTTCATGAATACATAACTAACATGCTTTGATGAAAAATGACTAACTTCTAATGACAGTATATGTTGCAAAGCTTGAAAGATTTCATAATACGAGAATATAGAAGTTTTACTCGTATATATGAAATGTTTTTAAACATATATTCGCTTAAAGGATTAAGATGTTACAGTTTGATTTTTAATTTAGATTTTTTCAGCGAGGAAATGCAGCTAGCGTTCTTGGCACCATGCCGCGTGGATTAGGTTTATTAGATAATATGTAATTTTAGATAGATTTAATCTTGTAAATATTAACTCTTTGATTATCGAAATATGATGGTACATAACTCCTCGATATATCGATATTATAAAAATATCAATATCGGCATTATAAAAAAAAATTTAGATTGATGTATGGAAGTTTAAGATAGGTGTATAATATTGTTAAAATAAGAAGACATGTAAGACGAAGAGAAATAATTTTGTAAGGAAAGTTTAAAAGGAAATGCTTCGATGATTTTCACGCGTGGAAACGATAACTAAAGAAATACTGGCGAAAGGAATGTATTGTTCGAAAGTAAACGGAAATGTCGGTAGAAGGCGGAAGTTGGTAGGGTATTTGAAGTACAAATAACCTTGATTATTTTCAGCATATACAACCAAAAGTTTAAAATTTTTTCTTCTTCTTTTGGCGGTAGAACGCAATATTATTTGATTTTAATATTCTAATTTTACAAAACTAGTTGACCTATGTGAAAAGAAATGCGAATCGTACGTCATAGTTGAACATGTAGTCAAACTATAGTTTAAAATAGTAAGTATTTACCATCGAAATTTTTATTTTTTATAGTAGTGAAAAATACCAGTTAGATTGTATATTGTTATATTGGAAAACATTTGAAACTAAGATTATTAACATATAAAAAAATATGGTATAGCTTTTATTCAATTTTATTTAATATGGTTGTTATTTAATTTTTGACCGTATGCGTCTAAAACAAAAACATAAATATTTATATCACTTTTCGTTCTTTGTGCTTTTGAGGTTTTTAATATAAAATCTGTTGTTTCTTGAAACATTGATAACTTTAAAATCAATGAAGATATCAATTTTTTTATAAGGGGCTAGTGTCTTTTGATACTTTTCTAGGTCACATACAGTTCGGCTTTTAAAATATAACGTAAGTAGCGTTATAGTTCATTAAAGGTTGTCTAGCAGGAGTCCACATTATTCCAAAGAAAATTAAAAAACATATACGGCTTGTATTTTATGCGAAATTGAACATTATTACTGCTTTTCTAAAATTAAAATAAATTTAAAGTTGTGATCATCATGGGCGAGATTTCATTATATTTCTCAGACTTATTCTCAGATTTTATTACCTTTGCACAACTGTTTGAGAACATAACTGGAACGTAATAAACAATTTTTTTATGCTGAATGTTGGTAAGTAGAAGGGAGATTAACTAATGTTAAGTGATTACCGCTGCCCATGGACATGTGCAACATTTGAGTGGCGGCAGATGCGCTGCCAATCACACTCACCAGATGAAACGTGACACGTGACTTCTACCTCACGCTGGTCTTCCGTGAGGCCGTGATGCATCCTCAGACGAAGCTGCCCGTTAAACAACAACAGCAGTACAACAGTGCCACAATAGAAGCTGCTCCACATAGTCTCTACAATTCCTAAGTTTCTGCACATATTCTCCGTGTAGATTAACTATGCTAAATCCTCTATGCGCACAATATTCGTAGAAAGGGAATTTTCTCTTGTCAGATATGAATATATAAAATATGATACGAAAATTGTCAATACTTTGAAGAAGGGCGCTGTGAATAGTCCCCTTGACAACTATGAAAATATACGCGGTCAGGTAGATTTATTATTATTTAAAGCAATTGAAAATCTGTCTGTACTTGTCGGTGACATGTGTTCATGTCATGTGTACATATATTTTATTTTCATATCGAACCTCAATTAATTGTTTAACATTAAATGAATATCTTGTATGCAGATTCATATTTATTATTAGAACGACCATGGAAATGTAGATAACACTAACATTATTGAGCTCAAACTAGAAGCGGTTCCCAAAATTATCTCCACAGTGTATGCACATCTGTGTATGGTATCGGTGTCGTTAGCAATCATATGCGGTCTAGACGGCGGCAATGTTCTTGCCGTCTTATCATGTAATATTGTCCATGTTCAGCCAATCAGATAGCGCGGCGACATCAATACTAATCGATGCTATCAGAATCAATTCCGAAATTGAAACGATTTATGCCTATAACGAGGATTACACACGCTGGACATCGCATCCAATTTAATTATTGCGTCATACAATGTGTTTGGCACGCAAATAACAATTATCTGCCGTATATAGGCACGTAAATCTAAAACAATCAGCTGTATTCATTTAAAAACATAAATTCGGTGTTTCTGTTAGTAATGTTTGCATGAAAACTTTTTGATTATTGTGAAAGCTCATACTTAATTACTCAAGTTTTGTTGAGGAAGGATTATTTTCTTATCTAAAGTAGGGTAAACCTTTATAATAGAACATTTCACTGCTGGATATACGCTTCTTCTGCACATCAGGTATTAAGCCATAGTCAGTCACATGGTTCTATTGTGAATTGGTGAACCTGACGTATCTTCGAAACAGTTTACTTAATGTATAATTAATCAGTTCTTCAGCGCTGAGCACGTGATAGATCAGGTAAATATTTTTTCGAGATGAACTACGGGTAATTTAATTTTTAATTTAAAAAAAATGTTCTTTTATATGTCCTGTCTATGTGTTATTTTATCCTTCTCGTGCTACTGCTGGAAGCGGAAAGTTTTCTATAAGTCGGGTATTTTTACGTAGGCCACTGCCAGATTTGCAGTAAAGTAATCCTGGTGAATTTATAGCCTCTCAAAAGATTCTCTTTTCGAATAACGTTAGAACGCTCAGGATGCTACGATACGTGGATGTCGTATTTATTGCAAAATTCAGTAGTAGTATTATTTATTTCAAATAATAACTATTGATCGTGAGTTTCTCAGGGCTTTTTGACTAATAATATGATGTGTATTATGTAATTTCTTTTACATATTTTCCAAAAGTATCACATGGTGCTCTTAATCTGCAGCGATTTACTATACAATGATGTTTTATGAAAGAGGTTGCACTATATTAGGAAGATTACTGATTACATGAAATTCCCATAAATAGATGAGACGAAGTTTTTCTTGTAAGCTTATCTCTTACCTGGTATTTTATTTTAAATAAGGTAGCATCTGTCTTTGTGTTTTATACACACAGCATTCCTTACATAAAAGTCATTCCCATTACTTACATTACTAGGATTACATAATCCAGTAGGATAGTAGTGAGGGATCTCTCAAATACTTGTCTCGTGTGGGAATTCAATCCACAACCCACGGCACTAAACCGATATAAAGGTAATGTGTTAACTGAGCCATAAAATAAAATTTACTAAATTTAAATATAATATTTGAAATCAATGCTCGAGTTAACATTAATTAGGTGACCAAAGGGAGTGTACTACTCTCCAATAAATGGAGCGATGACCTTAGCTAATGTGCGGGAAGTCTTTGGGTGCAGGTGGCTAAGAATCGTGCTTCGTGGCAGTTGGTGGGGGAGGTTTATGCTCAGTAGTGGTCTTGAAGAGGCAGATATGAGGATGATGATGAGCGAACTAAATCGTCAAAGAAATTTTTATGTGAGTGGGTGGCGAGCTGCCAGGTTGCCAAATTTTTAGTGATTGCTACAAACTGTGGTAGATGTTTCGCCAACATTTGAACCGAAATAATCGAGACCCCGTTACCTCACTCACGAAAAATACTCTAGAAAAGCCACTGCATGTCTGCAGTTTATGAAATGAACGTCACGATATAATATTTAATTTCCTCTTGTCATAAACGATAGATATAAAGTCATTAAAGAAATGAAGATAGATAAGAATGCATAGAAATTTTCAAGCTATATTTCGTTTTGGTATCATTCAAGTTTTCGTTTAGC